CCTCGGAGAGGGTACGCAACCTGGGGGTCCTCCTGGACCCACGGCTGACACTGGAAGACCAGTTGTCGGCCGTGACCAGGGGGGCGTTTTATCAGGTTCGCCTGATTCACCAGTTGCGGCCTTTTCTGGACCGGGACGCCTTGCGCACAGTCACCCATGCTCTCGTCACCTCCCGCCTGGACTACTGTAATGCTCTCTATATGGGGCTTCCCTTGAGGAGCACTCGGAGGCTCCAGCTAGTCCAGAATGCGGCCGCGCGGGCGGTGTTGGGAGGGACTCGTCGCTCCCATGTAACACCGCTGCTGCGCGAGCTGCACTGGCTGCCGGTGGCCTTCCGGGTGCGCTTCAAGGTGCTGGTTATTATCTTCAAAGCGCTCCATGGCATCGGACCTGGATATCTCCGAGACCGCCTTCTGCCTCAGAGTGCCTCCCATCGGCCGGTACGGTCCCACAGAGTGGGTCTCCTCAGGGTGCCGTCAGCCAGACAGTGCCGGCTGGCGACTCCCAGGGGGAGGGCCTTCTCGGTGGGAGCCCCCACCCTCTGGAATGAACTACCCCCAGAGATCCGGGTGATCCCGGATCTCCCTTCCGCCGCGCCCTTAAGACATGGCTATTCCAACAAGCAGGACTGGCCTAGGGGGAATTTTTAGTGGGGTTTTAAGAATAATTTTAAATTGACACAGGCCACATCAAATATTTCATTTTAATTAGGTTTTAAAGTGGGTATTTTTATTTCTGTATTTGTTTTACCAGGCTGTCAGCCGCCCTGAGTCCGTAAGGAGAAGGGCGGGATAAAAATCCAAACAAATAAATAAATAAATAAATAGTGGGTTCAAGTTGCAACATGGAAAACGAGTGGAAGTTGCTCTCAGCCAGCTTAGTTTCCTCAGAAGACTGTTGTCGGGACACAATGATTTGTCATTTCTACCCTCAAATTCTATTAGGATTTTTTTTAAAGACTATTAGTTAATTCGTTCTGCTAGCTAGTCTTCCAAATAGGCTTTTAAAAGAAGTATTTTTTTAGAAAAAGTCCTCCAAGAAAAAGGAGTAAAAGTATCACAGTGGTAGCAAATGCTAAACAGAGACCCATTGAACCAGTAGTAGAATTACATTACTGAAAGGCATTGAAAGTTCTGCAGAATCGATCAACTTGATAAAATTTGTCCAAATAGTTCTTCAGTCAAAGGTTTTTGATGGTTTATTTTCTCACATAAACCTTGGAATACTCCATTTACTGCCATTTAACTTGGTGCATAACTTTACTTTGGGATTTTGTGAACAATGGACCAGATTTTGAGAATCCTCCTTGGCCTGTTCTGTTCCTTTTTCCTTGTTCAGGGTGACCTTGTGTCTTTTGAAGAGGTGGCTGTGTATTTCTCCAAGGAAGAGTGGTCTCAGCTGGATCCTGACCAAAAAGTACTACATAATGAAGTCATGCTGGAAAATCATACAACTGTGGCCTCTCTGGGTAAGGATTTGCTACTCATTAATCAGAGAGTTTCAGAAAGTTACCATTAGCTATTTCTTATTAATAATCCCCAACTCATCTCCTGGGAAGGAGAAGGAAACATATCTGGCTTTCTCCTGCTCCACGGAAGGAATAGCAATAGCACATATGCATGTTAGATCCTACCTTGTGGCGATGAGGGTGGCGAGGTCTAATTACTACTCCACCCTCATTGCGTCATCAGATAACCGCCCGGCCTCCCTCTTCAGGGTGACCAGCTCCCTCCTTCAGTTGAGGGGGGGCGGGGACTCCCTGGCGGGGAAGGCTGAGGAATTTGCACAATATCTGCATGACAAAGTCGCTCGGATCCGAGAGGGTTTGGACTCCGACTGGGTGGCCCCGGGGGAGGGGGCGAGGGCAGGTCTTGAGACTGTTGTATGGGAGGAGTTTGACTCTGTGGCTCCCGAGGACATGGACAGGATCCTGGGGAGACTGAATGCAACCACAGGTTTAGTGGATCCGTGTCCCTCCTGGTTGGTACTGGCGGCTCGGGAGGGTACACGAGCCTGGCTCCAGGGAATTACAAACGCTTCTTTACGGGAGGGTGCCTTCCCCGTGGTCCTAAAGGAGGCGGTGGTGAGGCCCCTCCTTAAGAAGCCCTCCCTGGATCCAGATGTATTGGCAAATTATCACCCAGTCTCCAACCTACGCTTTGTGGCGAAGGTTGTTGAGAGTGTGGTTGCACAGCAGTTTCCCCGGCACCTGGAGGAAACGGTCTATCTAGACCCTCTCCAGTCGGGCTTCAGGCCGGGATACAGCACGGAAACAGCATTGGTCACGTTGGTGAATGATCTCTGNTCGACCTGTACGCTCCCACAGAGTGGGTCTCCTCAGGGTGCCGTCGGCCAGACAGTGCCGGCTGGCGACCCCAAGGGGGAGGGCCTTCTCTGTGGGAGCTCCCACCCTCTGGAATGAACTGCCCCCAGAGATCAGGGTCATCCCTGATCTCCCTTCCTTCCGCCGCACCCTTAAGACTTGGTTATTCCAGCTTGCAGGATTGGCCTAGGGTAATTTTTAGAGGGGTTTTAATTATATTTTAATTAGACTACGTTTAAATATTTCTTTTTAATTAATTTTAATTCTGTAATTGTTATTTATGTATTTTTAATCGATTGTCAGCCGCCCTGAGTCTGCAAGGAGAAGGGCGGGATATAAATTTAATTTAATAATAATAATAATAATAATAATATCACTCCACAGTGCTTTACCACACTCTGTGAGTGGTGTACAATGTCAGCATATTGCCCCCAACAATCTGGGTCCTCCTGGCACTTCGCCACCAGAGCTCCTCTTACAAGATCTTTGGGACAACTAAAAGGAAAGAGGTCTATGGTTGTTTAGATGCTTCTCTGCCACTTCTCATCTGAATTTTTCTATTTCTATTTCAATCTATCAGTGATAAACTAACTTCTTGGCTTGAGGAGATGCTTAACTACATAACACCAATATCAGCTATTTGAGCCCAGATGTTTTTTCTTATCTGTCCTAGAAAGGGTTGTCATTTCTTCCGGTTCTTGGGTTAAAAACTTTTGTTCCTTTTCATTTCTATCCTGAGTCTTGGGATTAGGGGCTAACCAGTACAAGTAGTCCTCGAGTTACGAATGTAATGGAGCCTGCCCATTCCACTTGTGAAAACTGTGGGAATCTTGTACCTCGAAGGAGATCACTCCCTTGCTCATTAAGATGCATGTAGCTCGTTAAGTGAACATACGATACCTCAGGGTGGGGAAGGCCATGGAGGGCCTAGTGATGGAACAGGTCACCAAGGCCTCCTCAACCCACTAAGATACCTCATGCTTCCCCCTCCCTTCCTGTCATGCAGGACTCACCTTGAAAAGATCTGTCCACGGTTCCTCCTGCTGCCTGGCTCTAAGGCCGGGGACTCTTCCATGTCTCTCCAATAGCCTGATGCGGGCCTCGGAGGCCTTCTCCAGATCCAGGCAGGAGCGGCCTGGAAAAGGCCTCTGGCACCCAGATTGGGCCACTGGAGGCCACAAAAGCGTTCCCCCGGCCTCAGATCCAGGCGTCAGCAGCTTGGAAAAAGCCTCCGATGCCCCGATCCAGCGTCCAGAGGCATTGAGAAGTGTCCCCTGGCCTCAGGTCCGGGTGGCAGCGGCCTGGAAAAGGTCTCCGATATCCCAATCCAGCCTCCGGAGGCACATGGAAGCATCCCCATCTTCGGTTCCATTCTTTGTTGCAGAAAACAGAGGCCTAAAGTAGTATGAGATCACGCAAGATCAGTAGCATGAGATCTTGCCCCAGTGATCTCGCGTGATCTTGCATTACTTTAGGCCTTCATTGTCTGTGAACGCACCAAAAGCCTGTAGCAGCCAAGAAAGTGAAGGATTTCAATCTTCGCAGGGATGAGTATTGAAGGCTTGGTGCCTAGGGAGACCTGGGATAGAGATGGGGAGGCAAGGAATAACCAGCGTGAATGTTGCAGAGCCTCTGCGGTCGCTCATAAAGGCAAACGACTGCCGTGCTGCTGCAATATTCGTAATTTTGGGACTTGCTTGTAAGCACTAATAGAAGGACCCCTGTTTTTTTCTCTGCAGCTATGTGATTTTGGCAAGAGGAATAGTAAAGGGAAATTAGTTTGGATAGAAAAAAAGGACTTGTTACAAAATTGTTTCAGTTCTCACAGGTCTCTGCTGAAATTAACCCACTCCAATAAATCTTACATTATCTCCTAATATCTCCTTGACTGTTTCCCCTGATTATTTCTTAACTGAAAACTGACTTTGCGTGAGATTTGCATTTCGGGGTGTTTCCCTGAAAATAAGCATTAGCTTGATTTTTATCCATGCGCCGAATATAAACTCTATGCCAAAAATAAGCCCTAGTTAACACTCTGTCCTACCGTCTGGTTGTTCGTGGCTGCAACGGGGCGGGAGAGTGCACGGTACCGCCATGAAGTGAGGTGAGGCAGGTGGCGGGAAAGGTGGCCCATGCGTCCCATACCTGCATACCTCAGGGCCCCCACAACCAGACCTCTCCCCACTGGTGACCTCTCCCCAGCCATTTAATGACCCGGCTGCCCACCTCTCCACCTGCCTCTTCCCTTTCCCTCCTCTTGAGGTGGAGTGCCATATGGGTGGGAGAGAGGCTTGGTCCCCTCACCCAGTCCCCCTCCACTGTTTCAAAGCCAGGAGGGAGTTATGGCAAAAGGCTTCTCCTGCTGCTGAGCATCAGCTACTTCTGCTGCTGGAGGGGCTTTTTTAGATCCCTGCCACCCTGTACCTGCTGGAGGCTGTCTCCTCCACCTGCTACTTTTGTCCTGGACACACTGCCTCACGCTTCCTGATCCCTGTTTGCCATTTCATTTGCGGCAGCTCTGAAGACCTGCACCTCTGCATCGTCCCAGTTTCAACCACCTGGCTCCCTTCACAGCTCTATCCACACAGCCACCCAAGCAGTAGGCAGAGCCCCGGAGGGTCGGGGAGGGTGCTGAAGCTACCAGGCATCCTGCTTGCAGCATCTATGCCTGGCTGCCCCTTCCGCATCAAAGCTGGAATGCCACCCCATTTCAATAGATGCCAGCTTTGCACCACCGCCCAGCTCCCATCTCTTCCCCAAAGCATTCCTTCACTAACCTGCTTTCCAGCTCGGTTGCATTTCTCTATAGCCACATGCAGGGAAACAAAAGTTTGTGGGGCTAAAAAAAAGTTCAACCAGACCTTTCAACTTTCAAGATCTTTTTTTGTATGTGTGTCTGAGAAGTTGGAAGGTCTGATTGACCTTCGAGGGTTTAGCACAGTGGTTCTCAACCTTTTTAATGCCGCGACCGCCCAACCGGTCGTAAGTCGAGGACTAAACCGGTCGTAAGTCGAGGACTAAACCGGTCGTAAGTCAAGGACTACCCAACCGGTCATAAGTCGAGGACTTTCCCTGCCCGGGAGCGCCGCGCATGTGTGGTTCCACCCCCTGCGCTGGCCGAGGCGTAGCTGGCAAGCGGCAGAGACGGAGCAGGCTGACCACCAGCTGGCCCAGCTCAAGGGAGGTAAGGTACCCACCGGAAAAGGGGGAAAAAATGGCGGACAGCCTTGCTTGGCGACCCCCGTGAAACGGTCGATCAACCCCAAATGGGGTCGCGACCCATAGGTTGAGAACCGTTGGTTTAGCAGCTTCTCTCGTTGCATCTTCCTAAAGCCCTATTGGCCAAAACGAAAGAGCAGCATTCTTCCTGCTCTTGTTGCAAGCGGCACCCTTACTTTAACAGTAATTACCCACTGAGCGAAGAGAAACAGCCTACTCCTTAGAAAACGTAAGCCATTTTACGAATGTATGGGTGGAGTAGGCATAGGGGCTCATTCATAGAATGGTATCCTGTTAACAAATCCTCGAGGTATAAAGGTAATCAGCAGGCTCCATTACATTCGTAGCTCAAGGATTATCTGTATATTGCAATTTTGCAAAAATTTAGAAGGTAATTCACTTGACTTTCTACAATTTGATCTTTTCTCCTAACCTTGTTATCATTTTCATTTCTCTTTTCCTTTGGAGGCAATAATGGGCAGGAGAATAAAGATTCTGAGGAGCCATTACAAGTGATCCACCATGAAGAAAGAATAAAGAAACGTATAGTACAAATGGAAGAAGAACATTATGAGAGAAACCAGTTGAATAATTGGAATCAGGAGAGTTCATCAACCATTCATGCTTCAATGCAAGATCTTCTTCTCCAAGGGACAATAAGGAAGAAATGCATTGGGAAAAGTGTAAAGTTAATCAAAGCTCAATTGCATGTAAATGAACATTGTCCAATCCAAAACAAAGGCGAAGATGCCATAAGTAGACACAATGGGACTTTCACTCTTTCTCTTGGAAATAAGTCCCTTACATCTCAAAAAGGGATTGACAGAGAAGAAAAGCCATATAAATGCTTAGAATGGGAAAAGAATTTTAGAAAAAACAGACAACTTACTGTCCATGAAAGGATTCACACAGGGGAGA